TTTTTATAATATGTACTCCTAAGTACATATTATTTTCTAATTGGTGGTGTTTTCTAAACAGGATTCTTATAATATGTACTCCAAGTACATATTCATGCTGCTTGGCCCTAGACATTAAGCACTTTTTATAAGTGCTTTTTTATGCTACTGTTTATTTCTAAATTTGTATGCTTTATTTGATGGATTCTCTATTCTCTTAAATCATTGCAGGTATGCCATAGAAAATAGGCACTTTGTATAAGTGCTTTCTTATGATACTGTTATAAGTGACTTTATTATGCTTTATTCTATGCTTTGTCTATTTTCCTAAATCGTTTCAGGTATGAATAGGCAGAGATCAGTTAGCATGCACAAGAAACAGTATGATAATGAAGGCTACTGGCAGTGGATCAAAATAATGTACTTATCTTTTAGCAATAGTAGTTGTCCCCTTTTGTTCCTTGAACTTTCAGTCCACCTGAAAGAAATGAATTGTACTTATATCAGTTCCAATACTGTATCTCTGTATTGATTTTCTTTTATTTGAATGAATAAAAAAACGTAAATAACCATGTCATACCTTATACACATATTTGACTCCAATCAATCCATTTGAGCTTTAGTGGCTTTTCAGGACATTACACAATATTCATAGGACTATAAATGCAAGTACAATTCAAATTCAAATATAAATGGAAGATAAAGACAGACCAAATTAAAATACAATTGCTTTTCCTAAATTTCATATTAAAGTTATCTTTAGGAAAACATCTTTATCTAATATCACAAATAAGGACTAAAATTATATTTCAAAGTCATTTTGTCCTTGCTAAATAAAGGTAAGCTGGATTTACTTAACTTCAAGTAAACTCTTATCAGATATTGGAAAAGAGTTTAGTGCTCAATCAAATAGTTGAATAATAGACCAATTAAACAGAATAGAAGCAAATATGTAAACTCTTTTCATGTAGTGAAGTTTTAATTCTTAGTCAACTACTATTATAAAACCTTGAATAAAGCAGTACACTGAAATTTTAACAAAAAATGTATAGTTATCGGAACTATAACACTAAACAAATAGAATCAAATCATGGAGGTACACATGAATTGTTTTCCTCTAATGACTAATTATCTCCAACTATAACTGTTATTGTATTCCAAAGTGTGCAACCTTCATTTCATTCAAAGAGGACACTAACTAATAAATTACAGAAAATAGATCAACATTTACACATCTGGACAACAAGGTTAGCTAATTAAGTCTGCACAACGTAACTCCTTCATTTGTAGTCTTTCGCAGTAAGGAAATTCAATTTGCTACTGTTTGATGCTCCAAAAGGTTTAATAGTCCTCCTAGGGCAAGATTTGAACTCTGAAATCTAATGGCATCAGAAATTCATATCATCATTTGCCATTTGCTTGAAAACAAATGTTAGATCATGAGGAAATTTTTTATATCAGAATTTAAGTCTATTCAAAAACAGAAGATAATAAGAGAAATAAACTGAGATTAAAAAAAGGTATTGTACTGACATTTGTAACTTTAATTCAATGTGCTACTGTTTCATGCTCCAAAAGGCTTAATAGTATGCCATAGAATCATGGGAACTCTGAAATCTAAGTGCATCAGATATTACTATCATCATGTGCCAGGTGCTTGCAAACAAGTGTTAGAAATTGAGTAAATGAGTTATAACAGTTTTGAAGTCTATTCAAAAACAGAAAATAAAGAGAAAATTATACTGAGCAGCAAAAATAAAAGTTGGCTAACCAAATTGGAAAACAAAATACACATCTATTAATGTTTTGGAATTGTAATCAAAACTTCAACACAATATATTGCAGGATAAATCTGGGAATAAATCCAATCTTTTAAATTTGTGTCTTTTCTGCTTCCCAATAGATGTAATCATTAATTAATAAAGTAATAGCAAATTCTAGAGAATTTCATTTTTCTTTAATGGTTTCCACTCACATATAGTCAGATATTCACATTTAAATGCAAAGTACACCATTCTTTTTCAATTACACCTTTCTTTTCAAATAAACTCACTACTGTCAAAAAAGAATTCACAAAGCACTGAGCAGTTCAAATCAATGAAGAAGTTAACAAAATCAACTGTAATCGGCACCAAAAGGAAGGATACAGTTTCAAATAAAGGTACGTTACTGATCAGAATTCATCAAAACTTATATTACTGTCACGGTTTCATCAAAACTTATCATGCAATTTCATACTGTGTATCCTGTTATCAATTTGTGTTTATTTAAAGTGGTGAATTAAAATCTGTAGAACAAGGTTAAGCATATAGTACGGTTAATTTTGTACTAATTATTCATCATCAATTCTAGGAAAGCTAAAATTTAGAGCCTGAAATTTCAAACAATCAAGTGCAACAGATAATAATAATATGCAAGTTTTCTTACTTCAATACCCTAACAATACACGCATGCAGTTTACCATACATAAATCGAATTGAAATTCTATTTACATCTAAATTTTTGGGGCAAAAATAGTAGAGATTAGGTCAGCGTGAGTACGAAGGTTACTTACAGTCCTTCGATGATTTACCTCCATGATTTGAAAACCCTAATTTCAACATGGACGCAATTGCAAATGTCAACGACTGCGTTCATCCATAGCTCACTCAGACTCATTGAGGGTTTCTGTAGATTGAATTCGTAGAAACGACTAAGCCTCACCGTAGATATAGGGTTTCGCCCAATTCTGTAGCTATCAATCGAACCCCAACACAATTGCGTCGGATCTCTAATCAAGAAGAAAATTGCGAACATTATCATATTCAAGCTTTCGACGCCATTAGCGTCTATCGAATCTGGATTTATACAATAGATAGATAGAGTTTGGGAGAAATGGACAGAGCGAGAGGTAGAAGACAGGAAACGGTGACCGTGGTGACGAAGGGTGTCCAGAAAGCATATTTCTGGACCCTTCCACAGTTGACTCATACGTTTATATATATATATATATATACCTTTAAATACAGCAAATCATTCCCATATACGGAGTATATACCAAAAAGGAGTATATACCAATACTATAGTATATGGGAATGATTTGCTGTATTTAAAGGTATATATATATATATATATATATATATATATATATATATATATATATATATATATATATACCTTTATATATATATAGTGAGAAAGAGAGGTAGAGTTTTAAGTTATGGTTAAATTCTATATTGGTAGTGAAATATACTATTTTAGTATGCTTATATGTACATATGTTTTTTTTATAGTACGATATTCATATTTGTTAAATTTGGTTTATTTACTGTGTTTATTATATTTAAATAAAACATAGTATTTCATTTAATTTATTGTTAAATACAATTGTTTGTTAAATCAATTTTGTTAAATAAGCATGTACATTTTAACTATATCTACTAAGATGATCATATTACTACTTATTTAATTATTGGTTTATAAGTATTTTCTGGTTTGTATGTTAGAAAATGATGGTGCGGAATATGGAACATTCAACACGCCAAAACGAGTTGCGATTTCTGGTAATTAATTTCTTTCTATATTGCAATGTCGGTGCTATATATAGTGTACTATAATAATGTTAACATTTTGGATTTTTTTATTTTAGACAATTCAATTACAATAGAAATGTCAAGTGGTACATCTCAGATTACGTGTGTCAATGTAACACCTCAAAATAATAGCCGTCTAACTGGTACACACTACAGAACTCTTTCAGGACAATCTTTCAACGGATACAATGGTATGAATCATTATATATCTTTAAATATTGCCAATTGTTCTCATTATTGAATATGTTTTACTGTTTAATATATTTAATATGCTTAATTTATAGTAAATGATTAGAGTGTTATGTTTGGAGTATTTGAATTTGGGCAATTATAAAAAAAAAATTCTACTTTTTCTATAATTTAGTGTATTTAATGTGGCAAATGTAACCCATATGCATTGCTTTATGATTAACTGTTTAATTTATTGTTTTATTGAACATAAAATGCAACATTCAAAAATTCGGGTGTAAATTTTTTTTGGATGGTTAGTGCTTTCATTTTAAATGAAATGTCAGTCTGTTGGTATAGTGAGTTTTATTTTAATTATTTTTATTATACATATTAACGTGTGGTTTTTGTAATTTTGTTGTTTAGAGTGTTCGTATGCAATACAATCGGCAACTGCTAGATCTCAGCTGACATGTGTTAATTCAACATCTCAGACTGAAAAGCGTTTAGCCAACGGAAAAATTATAGGTCTTTCTAAACAATTTTCTACAATAAAAGTATATTTGTTTAATTTTGTATATTATATATTTTGAATTTGGATCTGAGATTTCAAACCTTTTTTTTAATAGTTTTACAAAATATTACTCAATCAACGACATCGCAAGCTAACGTGCTCGAAAGTAACCCTATTGTGTCCTATGAAAGTCGAGGACCTTGGCATATTCATACAAATGGTAAAATTTCTATATACATGATAAATCTTTTTAGAAAGTAGATTGTTATAAATCCATATATGAATATTAAACTTTCATTTCATCTTTTAGATCAAACAACAAGGTCGTGCGTTGTTGATTACAATATCTCATCACCAGATGTTTCAATGCAACGTGGTTTGATGTCAGCATTTAATAGTGTGGTCCATGATACACCATCAAAATCTACAATTGGAGATCGTGAGTATAGATACAATTAATTGTAGATATTATCTAAATTTGGAGTACTAACATTTGTTTTTTGGTTAGATTATTACAACGATCTGGGTGATCAAACGTATCTTGCGAACACTGCGGAGCAATGTTTTGGTTAGAGGAGCGAGTTAATAAATCTAGCGGTGTTCGAAATCCAAAATATTCACTTTGTTGCAGTCATGGCAAGATAAAGATGTCCCCTCCTAATATTCCACCTATGGCAATCAGGCAGTTGTTCTTTAACCAGGACCAAAAGAGTACCCATTTCTTGAAGAATATTCGGTCATTCAACAATATGTTTTGTTTTACATCCATGGGTGGGAAAATTGACAGGACTGTTAACACTGGTGGTGCCCCCCCGACTTTTAGGTTATATGGACAAAACTTTCACTTAATGGGTAGTTTACTACCACAGTCTGGTGGACGACCAAAGTTTGCTCAATTGTATATTTATGATACACAACATGAGATAGACAATCGTCTAACTTTATTGGGGTAAGTTATGTACGCTTATTTAATTTAAATAAATGAGCATTGTTGCTTATATATTTAGATTATGAAATTGTCTTTTTTTTCTTGCCAAACAGGGATGATCATTCAACAAATACAATTCATCGTGAAATTGTGAAAGACATCAAGGATGCACTAGATGAAAATAATGTTTTAGTCAAGAGTTTTAGGATGGCGAAAACAAATATGGAAAGTAATCAAAGAGTGGATATTAAAATAAAACTCATTGGTAAAAGGACCACGGATGCAAGGACATATAACTTGCCACAAGTTGGGGAGGTTGCGGCATTGATTGTTGGTGATTTGGATCCAAACATGGGAGAAAGAGATATACTGGTGGAGTCTCAAGCGGGTCATTTTCAAAGAATAACTGAACTAAATCCAGCATATCTACCAATGCAATATCCACTACTATTTCCATACGGTGAGGACGGATACAGGGACGATATACAGTTTAATAATGTGCAAGGCCGGAGTTCAAATGCACGAACTAAAATTAGCCCAAGAGAGTATTTTTCATTCCGTTTGCAAGATCGGCTCAATGAAATGTCAACATTGCTATATGCTAGACGATTGTTTCAACAACATTTGGTTGATGCTTATACCATGATAGAATCAGGACGGTTAGTTTATATTAGGTCGCATCAAAAGTCATTGAGGTGTGAATCATACAAATGTTTGACAGATGCACTAACACGTGGTGAAGTAGATCCTACTGCCCAAGGAAAGCGGATTATTTTGCCATCGAGTTTTACAGGAGGTGCGAGATATATGGTGCAAAATTACCAAGATGCAATGGCGATTCGTAGATGGATAGGGTATCCAAGTCTATTTATTACATTCACATGTAATCCTAAGTGGCCTGAGATAGAAAGATTTTTACAATCAAGGAAACTGAAAGCTGAAGATAGGCCAGATATAGTTTGCCGTGTGTTTAAAATGAAATTAAATGCACTGATAAAAGATATTAAGAAGGAGAAGATTTTTGGACTGGTGGATGCAGGTAAATTTTGTTATTTAATAAATGTAATTTTTTGCATATAATTGTTTTGTAGGCTTAAAAAAATAGACAATTTATTTGGGGTCTAATTTCACAGTTCCCGTGTTTGCAGTTATTTATACCATTGAATTTCAGAAAAGGGGATTGCCACATGCACACATTTTGATATTCTTGAGCAAGAGTAACTCTTATCCTAATCCTAAAGATATTGACATGATCATATCTGCTGAGATTCCAAGTCAATTGTGCGACCCTGAGTATTATAAAGCAGTAGAAGAATTTATGATTCACGGTCCATGTGGTGCAGCGAGGAAGAATTCACCTTGCATGAAAAATGGTATTTGCTCTAAATACTTCCCCAAAAAATTTGTGGAAAACTCAACAGTGGATTTTGATGGATATCCAATATATCGACGTCGAGATAATGGTCGTACAGTACGGAAGAATGGTATTAACCTTGATAGTAGATATGTTGTGCCACACAATAGATATTTGCTTATGAAGTACAAGGCTCATATTAATGTGGAGTGGTGCAACCAATCTAGATCAATTAAGTACTTATTCAAATACGTCAACAAAGGGAATGATAGGGTAACAGCTGAATTCTACAATAGTGGGGTGGAAGAATCTACGGGGAACATTGTAGATGAAATCAAAATGTACTATGACTGTAGATATATTTCACCCCCTGAGGCTGCGTGGAGGATTTTTGGCTTTGACATACAATTTAGGAACCCATCTGTTGAACGTTTGAGTTTCCATCTTCCCAATGAGCAATCAATAATTTTTCATGACGATGATTTGGTCGATGATGTGGTGAATCGACCAACAGTAGCTCAAAGCATGTTTACTGCCTGGTTTGAAGCTAATAAAAAGTATGCAGCAGGGAGGGAGTTGACTTATTCACAAATGCCAACAAAATTTGTTTGGAAGAGTGATAAAAGAGAATGGCAACCTAGGCAAAGAAATTGGGCAATTGGGCGAATCTTTTATGTGCCACCAAATACTGGTGAGATCTTTTATCTTAGGTGTTTACTTAATATAGTTCGTGGACCGACTTCATTTGATGAGATTAAAAAGGTGGATGGTGTTCAATACAATTCCTTTAGAGATGCGTGTTATGCCCGGGGATTAATTGAAGATGATAAAGAGTATATTGATGCAATCACGGAGGCATCAACGTGGTCCTTAGCAAGTTCTCTACGGAAGTTGTTTGTTACACTTCTAACATCCAGTTCGATGGCCAAACCAGAAAATGTTTGGGAGATGGTTTGGCCATTCTTATCAGATGATGCTGAATATGTTTATAGAAGGAACCTATCAGTCCCAGGTATATTTTATTTTAATATTATTATTAAAATTGCTGTTTAAAAGACTTACATCGTACATCTGTCTTTTATTTTGTAGATTTAAACATGAATGAATCTCAAAAAAAGAATTTTGCGCTGCTTGAAATGGAGAAATTGTTGAATGCTTGGAACAAATCTCTATCAGATTACCCACCAATGCCAATGCCAGATGGAAACAATGATTGGATTTGTGGTAATAGGTTGTTGTTAGAGGAAATGTCATATGATAGGGAAGCTCTAATGCATCTACATGATTCATTGCATCCGAAACTAACTGATGAACAACTACTCATATATAATAAGGTGATTGGAGATGTTGAAAATGAGAAAGGTGGATTGTACTTCGTATATGGTTACGGTGGAACCGGAAAAACATTTTTGTGGAAGACAATTTCAGCTGCTTTAAGGTCCAAAGGAGAGATAGTTCTTAATGTAGCCTCAAGCGGAATAGCTTCTTTGCTGCTGCCTGGCGGTAGGACTGCACACTCCAGATTTGCCATACCGCTTGCTGTTAATGAAGATTCAACCTGCAACATAAAGCAAGGCAGTCCGCTTGCTGAATTGATAATCAAGTCCAAATTAATAATTTGGGACGAAGCTCCGATGATGCACAAACATTGCTTTGAAGCATTGGATCGCACAATGCGAGACTTAATGCGGTTCAAAAATTCAAGGAGCTCAACAATGACATTTGGAGGGAAAACTGTGGTGTTGGGTGGAGACTTTAGACAAATCCTACCAGTTATTCCCAAAGGTACTAGACAAGATATAATACAAGCCAGCATTAATTCATCTTACTTGTGGAATAATTGTGAAGTTCTTCGTCTAACGAAGAATTTAAGATTGCGCGGTGTTAGTGATGAAGATGATTTGGAGAAGTTAGATAGTTTTGCCAAGTGGATTGCGGATTTAGGTGATGGTAATCTTGGTGAAGACAACAATGTTGATTGCAATATAATAATGCCGTCTTCCATTGTATTACAGAATGAGGTTGATCCAATAAAACAAATTGTGGAAAACACATTCCCTGGATACCGTTCTGGCAACATGGATGAAAGACAATTAGAGGATAGAGCTATTTTAGCTCCAACATTGGATGTTGTTGACGAGGTCAATGAATACATGAATGGTATTAATCAAGCTGCATCAAGGACATATTTGAGTTGTGATTCTATTTGCAAGGCTGAGGCAAACTTTGATATGCAATCTCAGGTACACACAACAGAGTTTTTAAATAGTCTGAGGTGCTCAGGTGTACCAAACCACTCTTTAACATTGAAAATTGGAACTCCAGTTATGCTGTTGAGAAATATTGATCACTCGATGGGGTTGTGCAATGGTACTCGGTTAATAGTAACACAATTGGGAAATCATGTTATTGAGGGGAAAATCATAGCTGGCAATAACGCAGGTACAAAGGTTCTGATACCCAGACTATCTTTGACTCCTTCGGACCCAAGACTTCCTTTCAAGTTTCAAAGAAAGCAATTCCCGCTTATGTTATCATATGCAATGACAATCAACAAAAGTCAAGGTCAGACGCTTTCACATGTGGGTTTGATATTGAAAAAACCTGTTTTTAATCATGGCCAATTATATGTTGCAGTATCTCGAGTCAGTAATCCGGATGGTCTTAAGGTCTTAATTTGTGGGGAATCTAGAGGTCTTATAAACAAGACCCAAAATGTAGTTTATAAAGAAATATTTAATAATTTGTAATTTTTTAGTTTACTTATCAATAAAATATTATATTTTCTGTATTTCTCACTTCTATAACCTTATTCAACCTATATAATGAATAAAACAATTTTGATGATATTTCAACATAATAATAGGATCGTGCAGCGCACGGGTGCAACTACTAGTTTAAATTAAAGATGACAATATTCCAAAGATTGAGGCGACAATTTCCTAAATATAAAATAGAAAATTCCAATTTTGTCACAACTTTGTACCAACTATAAAATCACATCTTCTCCAACTCGATCTAATATTCATTCAGAAATCTTCGGAGATAAGACAAGGAGAAATCAAGAGCCAGAAGTTATCTTGGGAAGCAAGAAGAAGAGTAGGGAGATTCGAGAGAATCGTCTGGTTTATTCTTGTACTCTTTTGATGATTTGTAATTCTTTAATTATATTTGCTATGTATAATTTAGCCATGCTTGGCTAAATTCTTTAGAGATTCTTGGGTAAAAGTGTTTATGAACCTATGTGCCTAAGCTCTCAGATTCTCTAATATATTATTATTTGGGTTCAATACTTGTATTGCAATTGTGATTTTATTGTTTGATGCTTGTAATTAGTGGCCACAGTTACTTGCTTCGTTTGCTTTCTTTGTGTCACAACGAGAGTTGAGCATAATTTTGGGCACACATAATTGCACCTCGAGAAAGGTTAATTTATTTAGGGAGTTTAATTCTTGATTATTGCCAGTTCGAGAAATGATAGTAGTTAGGAATTTTTTATGCTTGTTCTTGTTTTATTGGGTGATTATCGCACGAGAGTGGATATTTACTAGTGTTAGTGACTGCGAGAGTAGCTATATACCACTTTGCATCCTCACACTCGTATGAACCCAGATTTAATATTACATTAGGTTAGGCACTGGGGGACTAAACACTTGAATCCCAAGAATCTCAATCTCTCTACTTTGCTTACAAAACTCTGAATCATTACTTTGTTTTATTTTATTTTATGCAATCATCCAAATCAATTGTTAGGATTATCTTCAAAGAATAAATTAGTAACTAATGCTTAATACAACCACTTCCCTGTGGATCGATTACCCGATACTCCGGGTATTATTTGTTTGCAAATATACTACAATCACACGCTAGCGCGGGTGGCTGGTTCTAACTTGTCCTTGGAGAGGGGCTTCTGACACCTCCTGATTGTATTTCGACTATGGTTTAATGAAAATCGTCTTGTTGGTTCTCAAAAAAAAAACTTCTTACATTCTTCAATCCTTTAGAATTATTATTTGGAGTTCGATCTCGTAATCTTCCTAGGGGGCGTAGCTAGACACGCTACCTTGGAAATCCGATTAGATTCGGAACTAAATGGAGATTGCAACTACAAGTAATTTACTCGTATCATTGAATTAAGAACGTTCTTTGATAATCTTATTTGTTCCATAATTTACTTGGGTCATATCAAACCATGTGTGTTGTGTGTTTCTTCTACTTTTTGTTTATTGTTTTAAATTATCTTTCTCACCATTTTATTTGTGCTAATAAAATTAAAATTATGTAAAAAAAAATCCATTTTTATAGGCACTAGACATTTTTCGAAATATGAAAGAGAAAATGGCAATTTTTCCCTTTGAATTATAGGTTCGTAGTACATTTTCTCTCTGAGTTATTAATGTAAGCACATTAGCCCCCTTAATTATTTTAAAAGTGACGGTTTTTCCCCCCGATATATTAAATTGACATTTCCACCCTTAAAGTAAACATTTTATTTATTTTTCTTATCCAACAAATTATTGCTTATAAGTAGGGATGGTCACGGTTCGGTTCGAACTGAACCGGACACTATAGCAATCGAATTGAAAGTTTCCGGTTATGATTCAGATCCAGAACCCAATATTTGGATTTCAGTTTATTAAAATTATGAATCGAAAAAACTGGATGGTTCTGGATCCGGTTCGCGATTTTGAACAGTCTTTATTTTAAAACTTTATTTTTTATTTTTAAAATAGTCTAAATTCAACAATAAATGTATTTTATTTTTTCAGTTCGGAACATGAACCCGTTGTTCCGGTTTGCAATTTTAATAAACTCTAAATATAAGGTTTCGATTCTAGATTGTAATTGAAATATTTCAGTTTAGTTGTTATAGTGTCTGTTTGGTTTGAACCGAATCGTAGTCATAATTTGTTGGAGAAGAAAAATAAATGAAATATTTATTTTAAGAGTAAATATGTCCATTTAACATTTCAGGGGTAAAAATAACCACTTAAATAATTCAAGGAGAAAAAATGCTATAAGTATATATCTCAGGGAGAAAAAATGTTATTTTCTCTAATTACAAAAATACAAAAAAAAAAAAAAAAAAAAAAAACAACAAAAAATACAAACCCATATTTGTCAGAGTCACGTATCATTATGTTCTTCTAAATGCACTCAAATTCGACAGTGGAATTAGGCTGCAAGGATTTTGTGTGAGTGTTACACAGGTTCCCGTTTGTGATTGACAATTATTTGGAAGTTTGAGTTAATACCATATGAGGTCCTCAGAGTATATAGTGGTTTTGGACAAATTATGCTATGCGCACGTGCGCACCTTGCAAGGTGCGCACGGCGTTAAAACGGCGTCGTTTTCCGTGAAAACGACGCTGTTTTAACTAAAAAAAAAAATTTGTTCGAAACGCCGTTAACGGCATATTCGTTATGAAATTATGAATATACAGTTATGACATTATGAATGTACAGTTATAGAATTATGAATGTATAGTTATGGAATTATGAACTTACAATTATGAACATAGAGCTTCGAAAATTATGAATGTTCGGTATGGAATTATGAATATACAGTATGGAATTATGAATGTACAGTTATGGAATTATGAATGTACAGTTATAGAATTATGAATGTACAGTTATGAAATTATGAACATAGAACTCTGACATTATGAACTTACAATTATGAACATAGAGCTTCGAAAATTATGAATTTACAGTTATTGAATTATGAATGTATAGTTATGGAATTATGAATGTACAGTTATAGAATTATGAATGTACAGTTATGGAATTATGAATGTACAGTTATGAAATTATGAACACAAAGCTGTGAATATATGCTCCTATAACGAAGCGGTCTGAAATTAAATTTAAAAAAAAAAAAAAAAAAAAAGAAGAGGGAAGATAACGGTGCTTGACTGCACCGTTATCCGTGCCCATGAAGCACGCTGGGCACGAGCCCACAGCATAACTATCCGTGGTTTTGCCACGTTTAGTTCTAAACTTTTAAATTGACCATCTGTGGTCCTTTGATTTCAAATTTAACCATTCGTGGTCCAAGTTAACCATTCATGGTCCTTCAACTATTAAATTTTAACCAACCATGGTCTTTTCATGAGGACTACGACTGGTTAAATTTCAAAACTTGAAGGTCCATGCGTGGTTAACTTGGACCACGAATGGTTAAATTTAAAAGTTGAAGGACCACATATGATTAATTTGAAAGTTTAGGACTAAACATGACAAAACTATTATACTCGGAAGACCTCAGATGGTATTAACTCATTTATTTATTTACTTGTAGTACAATTGCGAATAATGTTTAGACCAAGTGTCCAATTAATACTATCTTTATTTTCTCCCCGCCTTCTTAATATTTTAACCCTATTTTATGTTGGGTCCAGTCCCGTAAAACCATTATATATATACCTGTCTATTTCTCCTACGAGGGGCAAATTATATCATGCACCACGCGTCCTCACCGCGCGTCCTTTTGTTAAATGAAAAGAAATGGTGTTTGTTTTCCGCCGTTTCGCACTCTTTCGCAAAAAGTAACCCTGTTATTTAGTGTCATTTTGTATACACTGTAGTTTCAGTTCAACACAACTACAGTTTAATTTCGATATAACTATAGTTTCATTCGATATTTATAGACTCAAATATGTGAAAATGTTATTTAATTTTATTTTATATACACTATACATTATAGTTTCATTAAAACACAACTACATGATCATTTTGATATAATTACAGCTTCATTGTACAATATACACTCAAATATGTGAACTGTTATTCAATTTCATTTTATATACGCTACAGTTTCATTTCACTATAACTACAATATCATTTTGATATAACTGCAGTGTCGGTTTAGATATACTGTAATGTCAGTTGGTCTTTAATACACCAAGCAAGCGGACTCCGTTAACTATAACGGCGGACCGTTTCTTTATTTAAAGAAACGGCACCGTTTTTTACCGCGGTACACATGCACCGCGGTCTATGATATAACGACGGCCTACGAGGTTAATAAAATTGAGTATATTTAAATGAAATATACCAGGACTATGTGGTCTAATGGTACCCGGGTTGGACTTCCATTTGGAAGATTATGAGTTCGAGCCTCAGTGGAGGCGTTATTGGTTCTTTGTGTTTCAGTAGGTTGAGAAAGTATATGAACAGATATTACAATGTAATAGAACCAGTAGCTTTCAAAAAAAAAAAATGAAATATAATTTCTTTAAAATTCTAAATTTAAACATGAGTTTATCAAAAATAAAATATTACGCGCAATTGACGTGGTTTTTGCGTTGAAATTTGGCATAGAATAAAGCACATTACGGAATGAAAAATGTGAACAAAAGTTACGTGCAGCGTGCAAGCAAGCAAGGCAGAGAAGGATGCAAATTCAACGCCATCAATCTCGATTAACGTTACGTTGGAGACGACACCAACATGATTTCAAATCTACTTTTGCGAAACTTCTTCCCTCAATGCTCCTTGGAAACGTGGAAAGTGTTTGCGAAATGAAACAGAGCAACAATAGATACCATACGTTTACTCCCATCTTCTTATCCGTCCGATAAGACATGTAAATATGCAAGTCCGGTAGGGCAAATAAGTCTATTTTTTTTTTTTTACAAAGGAAGGGGAACACCCACATATACTATCTACGCCTTCACCAAGGCTCGAACCTAAAACATCTCACATAAGGAGCCAACCGAATACCAGTGGACTACAAGCCACTCAGTGC